GATTCGGGCGGTCCAGCCAGCCAGCCAGCCCGCACAGGATCAGACCTTTTGTGCGGGGCCTGCGCCGCAGCCTGCACAGCCCCCAGCACAGCCTGCCCCCGCCAGCCAGCCCGCACCCGACCAGCCCGCAAGCTCCTCTGCCGTGCCGCCGCCGCCGGTGCCCGACGTCAAGCGCATGCCCCGCCAGCAACCGGGGGCCGACACGCCCATCGAGCACATCTACGGCCCCCCGCCCGCCCGCGGCTACGCGCCCAGCCCCGCCCAGATCCGCCCGCCCGCCCGCTTCCCGCCCGCCGGCAAAGGCACGCACGGCAAAGGCGCGCAGGCAGACTGGGTGATCGACATCGATGTGCCCGCGGCAGAGTTTTCTGAGCAACGGCCGCCTTATGCCTGCCTGCTCGAATCCGATCTTTGCACGCGCCAGGTCTATTGGACCACCGCGGGGCGTCCGATTTACATCGACGCCTCGCGGAAGGTCCTCTGCGCTGCCCGCTGCGACAATCCTAATTGCCCGCTCGGCCGGCCCGCCTGCGACAAGCCCTTTCGCAAAGGCACCGACCTGGGCCTTGAAGGGCACAAGACCCATCTCTGCTCGCACTGCAAGTCAGGACGCTGACTGCCTGCGTGCACGCCTGCACGCACCGCACCGCCAGCACCAGCCCGCACAAAAAGTCCGCATGCATTGCCTGTCTGTTGTGCCTTTTCTCCCCGCTTGCACCCCTACATGCTGCTTCTTATGCTTCCTGCCAGGTGACATCGACACGGCCGAGCTCGAGGACACCAGCACGCCTTCATCATCCAGGTTGGGTTCGGTCTGCATTGCTCGCAGATACAGGCGCCCTGCACCCGATGCCCCGGCCAGCCTGCCTAGCACAGCCGCCTATGCGGACACAGCGTTTTCTTCTAACCTGCACGCGGCCGAGCCCGCGCCCGACTCGCCTCTCTCAGGTCTGCCCGACTCTCAGCTTGCATGCCCGCCGTTGAATGCACAGGTGCCTGGCAGTGCCTGACCAGCCAGCAGCCACTTCTCCTGCAACGTCGGCGGCTTCCTTTGCCGTGGTTTCCTCCTTACCCGCGAAGCCTGCTTCGCCCGCGCCTGCACCAAAATCTCCTGCAAGCTCCCCTGCGGAGCCTTCGGCCGCACGCTCGCCGAGCCCGTCCCCAACCCGTGTGCATTCCTCGCCTGCCGCGAGAAGCCCGCCCCTCTCACCGACAATGGTGCCTCTGCCCGTGCAGCCGCCTGCCACCCTGCCCGGAGTCCTTCCCCGCCTTCGCCTGCAAGCTGGCTTCACAGCCCATGCACACCGCCGCCGCGAGGCCCTGATGGCCCGGCTGCCCGCAACAGATCCCGCTCTCCTTTGCGGTTTCCTCACCGCTTTGCCCCCCCTAATGCCCGCCCTAAGACCCAGCACCCTAAGCTCGCCGCACCGCCGCCGCCCCTAAGCCTCACAGCCCGCCCTAAGAGCCGTGCTCCGCACAGTGTTGCCAACCTCTGCAAGCACGACCCGCATTGGCCGCAAGCCAGGCCCGCACCTCGGCCGTGCCCGCCCGATCTCTCTCGCCGGTTCCGGGCACCTTCCCCGGCAGCCGGCTTGCAACCACAGCCTCGCTACCCTACCGCCTGGCTCGCAGCCCGGCCGCCCTGCCTCGCAGGCATGCCTCCACCGCCGCCGCGGCCGGCGCCCCGCAGCCTCTCTCGTGCAGCCTGCCGGCCCGCTCCGTCCGTGCAGGCGGCCGGCGCGCCGCCGCCCGCAACGCCTCCTGCACGGCAAGCTTTGCCTCCCAACAAGCCTTTCACCCCTAGGCTGCGCAGCCCTGCTCCACGCATGCCTGCGCTCGGCACTTCAATCACCACGCGCGCACTCTCTGATGCCCGCCGCCTGGCCTGCGATAAGCTCTTCCTGGACCTGCTTCAGGCAGCTTCCGATGCCAGCGATTTGTGGCGTGGCCTCAAGGACAACCCCGCCCGCCAGCAGCACCTGCGTCAACTGCTTCTCTCGCTTGCACATACGACCCTCACCAAATACCTGCGCAGCGTTGCCAACTTTCTTGACTGGCTGGTAACCTTTACCTGCTCGCTCGCCGAAGTTGCCTGGCCCTGCATCGCCGACTTCTTGCACGCTGCCCGCGGCTCTCACAACGAAGACCGCGCCTGCCACCGCATGCCCCCGACTACTGCAATCAAGTCCCTTCGTTGGTTTGCGCGCACGGCACAAATTGCCAGCCTGCACCACGCTCTGCAAAACCCACTCATAGCCAGCTATGCCATCCGCGAGCATGCGCGCGATCGGCGCGAAGCATACCCGCTGCCCATGGCCGTCGTGCTCGCATGGGAGCGCCACATAGTGCAACCCGACGTGCCGCTCGCCCTGCGCCTCTGGCTCGGCGCTGCCTTGCTCTGCGTACACGCCAGCCTGCGCTGGGGGGACGCTCAAGCCTCACCCCCACACGCCTGCACGGCACCTGCTACAAGACCAAAACCAGCTCGCACGGCCAGCCCTTCGCCGTGCACTTGTGCGGCTTCGCCGGCGACACGCCCGCCCGCTGCTGGGTTCTCGCCTGGCTGCGCGCGCTCAGCGAGGCAGCTAGCCTGCACGCCACTGCCTGCCCAGACTTCTTGTTCCCCTTGGCGGACATGCACCAGCCAGGCCTGCCCGCACTGTGCCCCAGCAGCTACCACCACAGCCTGCAAGTCCTGCGCTGGGCCGCCACCCTTCCTTGGCTCGCCGATCCCGCTAAAGCCTGCCCGCAAGCACTGCTCGCACCCGAGGCCCGCGAGCTCGGCCTGCATGGCCTGCTTGCCCCAGCCGCGCAGCTTCGCCTGCCCAAAGACGACCGCCTGCACCACGGCCACCACCGTGACTCTGCACGCCTGTACAGCCGAGATGATACCATAGCCAGCCTCTTCGTCCAAGAAGAAATCCGCGCCGCACTGCTACGCGGGTGGCGCCCGCAGCGCTCGCAAGCACGCGGAGGCCAGGCTCCCGTGCCCGAGCCCCCGCTAGGCAAGCACTGCACAAGCCTTTGCACGCACGCGCTGCCCTCCACCGTGCTCTCGGACCCCTGCTTGCGCCGCTGGATCACTCGCCTTGAGCTTCTGCCCACCTCGCCTGCACCAGCGCCTCCGGCCGCACCGCATACCCCCGCATCCGCCCTCTCGGCGCCGGCTACCCCCCCTGTGAGCCCGCTGCCGGCAAGCCCTGCCCGCACCGCCTCGCCCACGACTAGCGCCGACCCTGAAGCTGCTGCAGTGGCCCACTGGGCGGCCACACACGAATCTTCCAGCACAGAGCCCGCCTCTCCCGTGGCATCCGCCACCTCCGCGGCCGAGTCGGACGACCAACCCGCGCCCTCCCCCGCCGACCCGCCTGCCTTCCCTTGCGTCACTACGGGCCCCTGGGCGGCCCTGCACTGCCTGGACCCCGACAGCCACCAAGTGTACCTGCGCACGCAGGACGCCAAATGCCTCAAAGCAGCCTGCGGCACACGCTTGGCAAGCACCCGCTTCCTCTCCTCCTACAATGCCCATGCAAACCTCTGTGGCAAGGCTGCCTGCATCAACGCCCGCAACCGCTACCTTGCCGCGACCTGAGAGTTCAGCTTGCTCTGCCGCGCCCGCCTCTGCTAGCGCCTACTCTCCCTGCCCGCAGCCGTTTACTGCTCTAGAACTGTAGACTGTGCCTGCCATGGCCGACCCAACCCTCCCCGCGGATCCTGACGACCCCGCCTGTTTCCAGCTCTTCGATGCGCTGGGCCCTTTGGGTTATAAGACCATTGCAGATTTTGGTTATAGCCTGCCCGCCCTAGACTGCCTCCCCCAGCTGCTGGACGCCATCCCGGGGGATGTGTGGGAATCCTTAGAAGCACCCACGCCTGCCATCTCGCCCGCTACTGGGCGCCTGCGCCGCCTGCTCGAGCGCTGCCATCAGTGCATCGCCAGCCACAAGCCTGTGCCGGCTCCACCTTCCTCTGCCAGCGACTCCGCCCCGCCTGCACCGCCACAGCCTGCACTCAACACCTGGGCTGAGCATGCCCCGCCACGCCTCAGCAACACAGCCGTGCAAAGCATGCGAGACACTTTCGCCGCCAACTATCCTGGCGAGATCTTGGACCAGGATAGCATGCCCAGCCTGCGCCTGCTAAGCATAATCCACCAGTGGTTCCGCCCGCCTGACGGGGCTATCAAGTGGGTCCCGTGGCAGCTACGCTTGAGCCAACGCCAGTACCAGGAAATCCTGGAAGCCCGCACGCACCGCATGCTCCGCACCGAAGCACAGCTTGTCAGCGCGGCCCTGCTTGACGAAACACCGGAGATTCCCATCTCCAGCATGCACCTCACCCCTGCCTGGCTCGCACGCACGCAAGCAGTCTTCCGCAATGCAATCGCCCTCTGCGGCGGCGCGCACCTCGCAACGCTCAAGACCTTCGACAAAAAGATCTTTGACTATGCAACCCAGAACCTGCCCGCCGAAACCGGCCTGCGAGCCGTCAACCTGCACGAGCTCCTGCACGCAGACCGCAAGCTCTGGCACGAAATCGCCAGCCTGCACTCCCAGGGCTGGACCCTGGACGATGCCATGCACGAACTCAGCAATGTCCGCAGCGACATGCACGCACTGCTCCAGCCTCGCGCGCGCCCGCCCAAAGCACCGCAACAGCCCGGCAAAGGGGGGCGGGACCCCACGCGCCCGGGCAAAGGGCCTGGCAAAGGCCGAGATCCCAAGGGCCCGCGTCAGCCCACCAAAAGCAAGCAGGGCGCGAAACGCGCACGGTGCCAGCCACGCCAGCCGCGCCGCTCGCCACCAAACAAGGCAGCAAAGTCATCTGCCTGCGCTATACAATAAGGGCACCTGCACCGACCCTGCCTGCAAATACCACCATATCTGCGGCTTCAAGCT